CCCTCCGGCCCCCGGGCCCAGCCCTCTCCGTGGCCGCGCTGCCGTGGAGTCTGCTGCTCGCGCGGGACACGGCCTCTCTCCCGAGCTCCAGGACGTGCGCGAAGGTATGGTCGTGAGGCTTGCTTCTGGGGTGCTCGGGCTCCTCCTCGGAGGACGAGCCTTCGGCCAACGCGGCCGCGGGCCACAGCTTCCTCCAGGCCCGGCTGAAGACGTCGCCCGGCACGGCGTCCCAGGCGCAGGCCACGCTGCAGATGGCGTCGTTCATGCTGTAGCGTGGGTGGCAGCCCTGCAGCGCGACGGGGGGGTTCACGAAATTCCTCATGAAATCTCGTCGGATGCCCTGGTCCATGGGCTGGATTAAGGAGGTGACGCTGGCCGGCAGAAAGATGGTGAAGATGTTGTCGGACACCAGCTCGGACTCCTGCGCGTGGGCCCGGGAACTGTCCAGCAGCAGGATGGCTTTGCTGTCTGCGGGCAGACCCAGGCCTCGGAAGTGCTCTCTCACCGACGGAGCGAAGATGTGATGGAACCAGTCGGAAAAGACCGCCCGGTCCGCCCGCGCGTCGCCGTGAGCCCGGTGGGCCGCTGGCAGGTGCGGGGTGCCTCTGGCAGCCCGGGGGCCGCTGCATCTCCCGATCACCAAGGGCTTGATTTTGTGGGAGCCCGTGGCATTGGCACACATGAGGACGGTCAGCCTGTCTCTGCTCTGCCTGCCGCCAGGCGCCGCGGCCCCCTCAGGGGCGGGACCCGGCAAGCACCGCCAGAAGAGGCCAGTCTCCCCGGCGTTGTAAACCTGCTCTGGTGTCAGGCCATGCTCCGAGGTCAAGCTCCGGAAAAACCCGCAGAACTGCTCGGCTGCTTGGTGGTCAGCCACATGCTTCTCACTGGACGCGTCCAGCTTCTTAATGCCGTGTCTGGCCTTAAAACGCCACAGCCACCCGCCGGAAAACACGCAAGGCTCGGTAAGCTGCATCTGCTCGTAGAAGTCCTTGGCCTTCTCGATGAGCATGGGGCCCGAGACGGGCGCGCCCTTGGCGCGCTGGCCCAGGAACCACTCGTACAGCGCGCGGTCCAGGTGCTCCAGCTTGGGCGTGTGCAGCGTGCGCCGGCGCTCCAGGGCCTTGCTGGAGTCGGAGCTGGCAAAGAAGCGCAGCAGCTGGGCCTTGTGGGCCCGGATGTCGTAGAGCGTGGACATGCCCACGTTGTACTCCTGCATCAGCGCCCGGCGGCTCTCGCCTTTCTCCAGGCGCGCGCACACGTCCATCTTCTCCCTCAGCGTCAGCACCACCCGCTTGCGCTTCTCCCCCGCGCCCCTCCCAGCAGCCTGCTTGGCGGCCATGTGGAGGGCGGCTCGTCCCGGGGGCGGCCCGAAGGCCTTCCTGCCTCCCCGGCCCCTTCCTCCCGCTCCCCTCTCCGCCCCGTTCTGCAGGTCCTGTGCCCCACAAGCCACCGTTCCTCCCTCCGGTTCCAGCGGCCTCTCGCCTCAGCTGTCCCTCATCTTCCGGGCCCCGAGCAGCGTGGCCGGCTCCTAGACACTCCCCATACTGTCGGAACCGCCGGCCTTCTCTGTGGGGACAGTGGCAACGTCTCCCTTCAACCAGAGACCAGGGAGTAGAGGGGCCTCCGCAGCTGGCTTCCAGCCAGCCAAGGTCGGACTGTCTGGGCCGGGGGTGCCTCTCTCCGGGGCTCGGCGCTGTGTCACGTGCCCGGTGCTTTAGGAACTGGAAAACAGAAGGGAGAAGAAAGAATGTCACGCAGCGTGGGCACAGGCTGCCTGCACACAGATCCCCGCCACCGCAAACCAGGAAGCTGCGGCGGAAACAAGGGATCCAGAGACGCCCGACGCACAGGCTGGCCCGTGACTGAGTGGGGTCTGGGGGCCGCCCAGCTCTCTCCCCAGCCCCTGGCGTGCTGGACGCGCTGGCTCTTTCCAGCTGCTACCAAGTGACTTCGGAGTCATTATGGTTACTTCCAGCTGCCCAAGTCCATTCTGTTATAACCATTTCCCAAAACATCCCGCACCCCTCCCTGCACTACCGAGCAGATGTGCAGGGCAGAGTGGGTACATCCTTGCTGGCCCAGGGCAGCCTGTGAGAATCGCCTGGCGAGAGGATGACCCTCTCCAGCCTCTGAGAACTGAACAGCTGAGGTCCCCACACTGACTGCCTGGCTGGTCTGCGGAGAGCACTGTGGTTGCTGACAGGCCCGTCTTCTCTCTCAGAGTCAGCTGTCCCCTCCCTTCCTTCATGACTCAGCCTCAAGACCTCTCGGCCCTCTCAAGCGGGACTGCAGATCACCCAGGAAGCAGCTACGGCGCGCTTACTGCCACCTGCCACCACCTCCCAGTGACGGACATGCAGTACTGACAGATGTGCTTCTAGCCGTGACCCCCACCCCCACCCCGCCTCTCTCCCAAACCCTCATTTTGGCTGCTTCTTCCAACTTCAAGCAGGTGGTGAGGCCACAGGACGACTCACACGCAGAGCATAAAAATGTGGCCCTTTGAGACTGCCACTCAGGAGAAATGCAGTTTGCGCAGATGTAGCAAGAGCCCCAATGACAAATCTGGGCCCGTCACCAGCCAGGGCTGGGCACGTCCTTGCACCCTCCCAAGTCAGTCTCCTGGTCTGCAAAGTGAAAAACGTGCTGGTCCTATTTTCCGGGTGTGACAGTGTGACGGTGTACTGTCTGGCCTGCGGGAAGCGGAGGGAAGTAAAGGGCGCATCCACCTTTAGGGAGATGTTTCATATGAAACCGGGCGGAAATGGGACCCCAGTCCCTTGTGAGGGCCTGACTCGAAGCACCACAGGAGTGAGGAGAAGGAGCCAGGATGGCTGGAAAGGTCCTGGAGGCTCAGCGCCAGAAATTCGCTCACGACGAACGCGTCCTCATGCTTGATGTGCAGATGTGTGCAGGATACTACAAGACAGCTGAAAACATAATGATCTCACTCGCAAGACATAAACCCCCTTTAAAAATGAAATTCAGATGTTATTTCCGAAACAATTCCTTAAACCCAAAGGTACCATGACACACAGAAAGAGGGATCACAGGGCTCCCAGCCACTTCAAAGGAAGCGCTGGCGCCAAGGCCACTTGGACTCCAAGACAATAAACGTGTTAACCTCTGGTGCCCAAGGGACAGACAAAAAAATGCGGGTGGGCATCAGGGCACAGAGTGGGGGTGGGAGAGAACAGGAGGCGCGCATCCACAGGCAGGCAGGCCCTCCCCGGCCTTCGAAGGGACCCTGAGGGCTTAAGGGAGGAGCAGTGGTGTGGGGGGTCAGGGGTCTCGGGGGAGAAATACGCTAAAAACAAGGGCTCTGGAGACCGAGGAAGAGAGAGAGAAGTGTTGGGGGCAAGAAGGATGGGGATCCTTTAGCGAGTGGCAGAGACATCGGGGTGCGTGTCCTGCAGGGAGGGCGCCTGGGAGCCGAGCGGGGTTCCCCAGTGGACACCGGTAGGTTCGCGCACAGAGCCCCTCCCCGTGGAGCACCGGGCAGGGAAGCCCCGGGCCGGGAGCCGCCGCGGGAGGCTGCAGAGGCCGCTCTGGGAGGCGTTCCTATTCCGGTGCCATGTTTGGGAGGCAGAAGCTCTGTTTGGGGCCACAGCAAACCGAAAAGGGAAAGCAAAAAGTCCAGTCTCCGGTGGCTTCTTCCGGGGGAGGGAGGGCCCCTCGGTGGCCAGTGCCTTCCGCAGGGCGAGCCCCGGGAGGGGCCCGGGGCGCCAAGGCCAGGCTCGGAGCGAGGGCTGGGGACGAC